CATTACATTATCATAAGGCTACCTGTCCATTTCGTCCAACCAATTAAATATTCATCCAGCAGAAGGCAGGTACCTCTGAGAAGGTACTGATATCTCTTATCTACACCAATATTTCAGGAAAATGACAGAGACTGAGAAGCTATTAAAACTTCAGCGTATGAAAGGGATGTTATGGCTTATGCACATTGAAAAACATCAGATAATGCTTTTGAACCATCTCATTCACCAGCACACATCAATCCGGCTCCTGGCTTCTGTCAAGGAAACATTCCAAAATAATGCATTATTTTATTTCATTGACCTTGCAAAAGACAAACAGCAAACACATCACCACCAAAAACAAAAATAGTCAACAGGTAAGTACAAGCTCATCTAGCCGTGCTGTGTCATGTGCCTTTGAAAAACTTGAGCAGTCAGGGTTGAATAAACACCCCAAACTTAGCCATTCATGCATGAACAAGTGCAAATTCTGGTCGAGCATTTTAATAAAAATGAGTAACAGCATTGTAGGTTACAATTATAAAAAAGACAATTACAAAAAAAAAAACAGCAGAGCTTACTCTACAAGGCATAACCATTAATTTTATAACTGACATCCAAATTCGCATCTCCGAAGTTTAACCCACCTACCAGCCACCTGTGTGAGAAATATCGTTTCCATCTGCTCTGAGCGGCTAATCGGCGACACTCATTATTTCCAGCGACGGAAAGCGCCCCGTCAGTCGGCCCGGAGGCCAAGGCCGACCAACCGGCGGCGGCTCGCTCGGTTCCTATCTCGCTGACCTCCACCGTTCGCCCACAGCAAAAACACTCGGCGAGGGTTAGGTCAGATAATGGGTTGACGACACACCAAGGGCAAACGACTGTCGGAGAGGTATAAAACGGGCGCCAGACGCAGCAGCGACACACTCACACAGTCCACACCACACTCAACAACATCCACTCTCCAACACTCCACTCAACATGCACAAGTAAGTACCTACGTAAGAATGACTCAGACCAGACGGTCTGCCCCAGCCAGCTCTCTTGGAGCTGTGCTGTGGGGACAAGGTGACGTGACGTCTTCTAGGAAGTCCGTTTAACTTGCCGAACTATTCGGTATATGGTTGAACTGTTTGTTTTGTCTTTCGGCTACCCATTCGGTTATCTCTTTCGCCCTTGTTTTTTGGTGACCGTTGACCGCCGTTGTCCGGTCTCACTGCGCTGTTTGTGTTTCAGCCTGCCCGCCATCATGACGCTGACCAGGGAGCCGATTGGCTCGGCTTGGCGGCAGCAGGCTGTTCTTTCGGCACTCTTCCGGCCTCTACAATATCGGCATACTCGAGTGCGATAGGAACTCGAGTGGGACTGATTTTCGGTCTTCTTTCGACACTTCCGTATTCTTCGATATCAGCCCGTGCTAATGCAACGGCTATTCGTGCAGGACTGATTTTCGGCCTTGTCTCGTTTAATGACTCGATCGCTTCCTTTTGACATTTTGGTTTCGACCTTATCTTTTGGCTCATTTCAATATATCTACTTTTAACTCATGTTCACGTCTGTATGGTGGATGGTGTTGGGAACGAAGGAGGGAAAGGAAGCAGAAACACACTCGATCGCGTTTTCATCAGTAATACCCCTAGACAGCACATAGAGTAAACGATTGAAGAATATAGTGAAGGACACAATCCCCTAGACATATCTAGCGATAAGACAGCAATGCAGCATAGCAGCATATACAAAGGGACAACTTTCAAATTACATTGGGGGCTCAGCCGGGATATCAAACTCTGTTCTGCTCGAACAGGACCCTGATTGTATATGCCGTTGATTCATTGCATGTTCTTGCTTGTAAAGTTTTCAGGTTCTTTGTTGTTCCAGAATGATTCGTGGATCTTCGTTGGTGTAGCTTGCTGCTCGTGATTCGTAAACTTTCCGTTTCACCGTGTTCGTGAAACATGAATTGACTGGTCAAATTTGTGTATTTCCATTTCCAGTTACCTTTATTTGATGGCGAATGGCTCGAGTTCCAGACTCTACTAGGTTCGCCAGGCCAATTGTTGGTCCGCATGCTGCATGGGCAACCTACATCGGACGCACCGTCGAGGTCGCCATCTCTTGAAGTTCATTTGATTCAGGTTAGTCTTGCTTACTTCTGTGGGTCTACTTACTTTGCCTTCTGGCGATACGCTACTCGGTCGTATACCTCGCAAATCGATTCGTTCGCATCGTTGGCATGACAGCAAATGGCTATTTAACTCATGGTATAAATGAATGTCCAGATATGCTCTATGGATTACATCCATTCGATTCCTTAGACTTGAAAATATGTTCGGATGATACAGACTTAGTATTCTTGAACTTTATTAAGAAGTTGCCCGTATAAGGTGCTCATATAATGCCGACTTGGTGTTGTTGAGCTGGTCCGTAGGTTTGATCTGATAACATCGACTTGGTGTTATTGAGATTTGTCTTGACCTTTAATGCTCAGATGTTACTGACTTGGCTTTAGGGAGCTAACACTGACTTCGTTGTCATGGGACGTTCTGATGATACCGACTTGGTGTCATTGAACTTTGGGGTAGTTGCCATAGGATGTCTGCAGTGACCAGGTGCATGGCAGCGCAGTGGTCAGCTAGCTGGTTCGGGGCAATAACTATCCACAGGTAAAAACAACGCGAGTTCGATCATCTGATCGCCAAACCGGATATGCGATTCGATCAGTGTTTTCAAGATCGCGGAAGTATCCCATGATCAAGGTTTCCGGAGTTCAGAGGTCCGTTGACATAACCTTACATGGCCCTGACACAGTCCGAAGTGTCATTGTGACTGAAGTGGATTGATGCCTCGCTGACATGATAAGTTATTCTTTAGGGTTTTTTTTTTCAACTGGTCGGTCACTGGTAGAGTTGCATTATGGCTGAATTGTTGACAAGGTTCAGTGGAACAAGATCGGTTCAATGTTTCACAGTTTGAGATGTCATTTATTTGTGAGAGTACAACGTCGTTTACATCTATTCAGTTCTTACACAGGAATTTCAATATTTCAGAGCATGTGGCAGGTTTCCGGTAAGTCGAATTCAGGTGAAGTAATTCTCTCTGTGTTAGACCCTTTGCCCTAGTTGCTAGGTAAATTTTGTATTAATTAGTAATTATTGGTTAACATTGGACGGCAATATACTTTTAACTTTGCTTCGGTTCAAACAGACAGTCATCTCATCAGTCAGTTGAGGGTTGTGATTTGTGAAGATAATCCCAGTCAACATTGGTGATACTCCCGTCCAGTTGGGAAGTATTTGACAGAATGATAAACGCATTTGTTATTTGGCGGGTGATGTGCTGGGCCAGAAATGTGGTCGGTGATACTCCCGTCCAGTTGGGAAGTATTTGACAGAATGATAAACGCATTTGTTATTTGGCGGGTGATGTGCTGGGCCAGAAATGTGGTTTCCGTTTATTGAGTAGGTCGTGCCGTCTGCCTACGTCCCTGAGAGAAGGGCGAGTGCTAGGTAGGACGTGCAGCCTACAGACGTCTCTTGGAGGAGGACGTCACCTGCTCGCGGGGAGCAGGACGGCAGTCGCGGCCCGGACGCGTAGGAGCTGAGGAGAACTGGTGATAGGGCCTGCCCCACCTATCTACCAGAGTGAGTAGCATGGCAGAGGGTGGTCCTCTGGGGGTCCATGCCCACCGAACATACACCGGCCGGGTATGGGTGGAATTCTCGGTCAGCTTACGCTCTAGGCATAAGGGCTGGGCGTGCAGTGACGGGAGCAGCAGGTCACTGGCACATGCGACACGACAATCCATGCTGAGGAGGTGTTCCTGGCATGTGAAAAACGGAACCATTTGAGCGTGTAAGGCGGCAAACCCCACCGCAAATACACTGCTACCGGAGTATAAAGAGTCGAACACTCCGGCGACTACAGGAGAGATGAGGCCAGCAGCGGACCCGACCAACAATTTACTTGCTTCAGGAGGTGACCGCAGCATCGATAAGGAAGGTGGGTTGTTTTATATCCGAGATAGGATGACTCGGTTGACTTGTTTGGCACTGCTCAGGAGTTGCTGGAGCAGCAACCCGACTTACAGCTTAATGACTTTGGAAGGTAGTCGCAGCAGTCGATCGGAAAGGTGTGATTCACATTCAAGGTTAGATGGTTAGATGATGAATTGGTTGCTTGTTTCATTGCACAGGTGTTGCAGAAGCAGCAAACCGATCGACAGTTTACTTGTTTCAGAAGTTGACTGCAGCGTCGATAAGAAAGGTGACTCGTTTGCTGTGCTTCGTTGCACAGATGTTGCAGAAACAGCAAACCCGACAAACGGCTGATATGTGAGTACACTTCAGGTGACTGCAGAGGGAAAGATAGTGTTTAAGACGGAAAGTGGTTTTCGTCTCGTTTTATCTCCATTCCATGGCAGGAGGTAGTACGACTCGAATCCTTGCTTAGCTGCACTTTGCAAGTCACAGCAAGTGCAAAACTCTTCAGGAGTCCATCCCGTGGCTCATCTCCAGAGTAGGAAGATAGACATAAATGCTTGATGTCCTGCTTCATCGTGAATTACTGCGTGGGTCTTGCAGTTGATATAACAAGGCAAAGAAAAATAGTAATTCGGCCGTCAGCAGTTACCAAGTGAGCTGACTGAAGCCGAAAGGTTTCGATTTCAGCGCAGGTACGAGGCACGAAACGTCCCGAGGGAAGGTCTTGCCGGTAAAGCTAAACCGAGCAGAACCGCAACGGTAAGGGACAATGCAACATTAACGAAATATTTGCTTGATTTCGTTGTCTCGACTTTCGAGTAACACTTAGGTTAATGTTTTTATAGCAAGATTCTGGAGTAGCATCAACTGTGCAAACTGACCACACTTTTTCCTGTGGAACGATTTAAAATATGAACCCGAAAGCCTATGCAGTTAGAACCTGCAATCCTATGTGAACTCGTTCAGCACTCATGTGAATCATTTGGCAATCCCAAAGCTGAACGAAGAGTCAACGTCATATTGAATGGAAGGCGTACCAGTTACTGTGGTTGACTTTCGTTGTATTGTCTGCAACAGACACCACGCTGCCGAGTGGAGGTCCTGATGGATTTATCCAACCCTGCATGGAGCGTCACCGTCTCGTGAGTGACCAGCGACGATGATGTCAGGTCACGAACAAAAGTAAGAACAACCCTTGAGATCAAAAGATCAAAGCCAACGGGCATGTGCTCACTTGTTAAAGTCAAGCAGACGAGTTTGCTACAATCTGCTTCAGCGTATGCATAAAGGTCGTGATAAGGGTCAGTTGGTGCTCGAGGTATAAGTTGTGGTGAAGCAACAATCTTGTGCATTGCCTTGAAACTAGATCCAGCGACATGGATCTGTGCAGACCAAAAGATGCGCGGGCATAGAACCGGCATAGACAATAGGACAAACTGCTCGTGTGCTGCGATGCTTGCATCGTCTGGTCCCTCCCAATGTCCTCAGGTCATTGGAGCCAGCAGCAGAGTGCGTCCTACACAGGTATCTGAGATACCCAAAAGGTCTACAAGCACCACCAATCTCTCGGCATGTCAGATTGACTTCAGCCTCAACACCTCACCCGAGCCCTTAGGACCAACATCTCGATGCTGAGTGCTGCCAGAAGTCGGAAACGCATCCTTCTGTTCTAACGGAGGCAAACGATCACTCGCCCGTCGGTTGTAACTTATCTCCTCCAGGTGTGGCGGCCATAAAGCAGACGGATGGACCCATCACGTTATCACTCGTGAGTTTTTTTAAAGTCGAAGCCCGTATTGGGAATCGTTAACAAGCGTACCCTTTACATTGCACGACTGACGACATGCTCCCTTGTAAATCGTTTCCGGTAAACCACGAAATTCCCATCCCAGAAACAGTCCACAGGTCAGTAGCAAGGAGATGTGGTTCCCAGAATAATATAAATGTAAAGGTGCAGTGATTGCCTTTCTCCAAGATTTTGTATCCAGCAGCACTACCATGGTGCAATGCTAAAGCTGAAACTAAAGTCGTGTGATCTTATCTATCAAGCTATTAAGTGATTATGTATTTTGCACTATTGTCATATTTGCCGAAAGGCACAAAACAGTTAAAACAGTTTAAGACGCCGCATTTGCCATTGTGTACAAGTCAAACTCGGTTTGACCCAGTCAGACTGTAAGTCTATTATTACGTACGTATACCCGTTCACCCCCTAAGGTTACAGTTCTTCGTTCGCCATAAAAATGGGAGGGATGTGAGAAATATCGTTTCCATCTGCTCTGAGCGGCTAATCGGCGACACTCATTATTTCCAGCGACGGAAAGCGCCCCGTCAGTCGGCCCGGAGGCCAAGGCCGACCAACCGGCGGCGGCTCGCTCGGTTCCTATCTCGCTGACCTCCACCGTTCGCCCACAGCAAAAACACTCGGCGAGGGTTAGGTCAGATAATGGGTTGACGACACACCAAGGGCAAACGACTGTCGGAGAGGTATAAAACGGGCGCCAGACGCAGCAGCGACACACTCACACAGTCCACACCACACTCAACAACATCCACTCTCCAACACTCCACTCAACATGCACAAGTAAGTACCTACGTAAGAATGACTCAGACCAGACGGTCTGCCCCAGCCAGCTCTCTTGGAGCTGTGCTGTGGGGACAAGGTGACGTGACGTCTTCTAGGAAGTCCGTTTAACTTGCCGAACTATTCGGTATATGGTTGAACTGTTTGTTTTGTCTTTCGGCTACCCATTCGGTTATCTCTTTCGCCCTTGTTTTTTGGTGACCGTTGACCGCCGTTGTCCGGTCTCACTGCGCTGTTTGTGTTTCAGCCTGCCCGCCATCATGACGCTGACCAGGGAGCCGATTGGCTCGGCTTGGCGGCAGCAGGCTGTTCTTTCGGCACTCTTCCGGCCTCTACAATATCGGCATACTCGAGTGCGATAGGAACTCGAGTGGGACTGATTTTCGGTCTTCTTTCGACACTTCCGTATTCTTCGATATCAGCCCGTGCTAATGCAACGGCTATTCGTGCAGGACTGATTTTCGGCCTTGTCTCGTTTAATGACTCGATCGCTTGCTTTTGACATTTTGGTTTCGACCTTATCTTTTGGCTCATTTCAATATATCTACTTTTAACTCATGTTCACGTCTGTATGGTGGATGGTGTTGGGAACGAAGGAGGGAAAGGAAGCAGAAACACACTCGATCGCGTTTTCATCAGTAATACCCCTAGACAGCACATAGAGTAAACGATTGAAGAATATAGTGAAGGACACAATCCCCTAGACATATCTAGCGATAAGACAGCAATGCAGCATAGCAGCATATACAAAGGGACAACTTTCAAATTACACCTGCACATTTCTGCGCACATGTGTTGCGCAGTGTGCACAGTCACTACACATTACACAATTATGAGAATTAAAATAGTTTTAAACAATCAAGTAAGTCAGGACTGGTATGCAGATTCACAAGTTCTCTCAACATCTTCAATTACCAACAATCAAGAGCACCTTGTGATCTCAGTAACTCCGCAGATCCATCTTCTGTTTTCCATTTTCAGTTTTCAATTGAAATATAAGTTCCATCTGGGAGACACATGTTGCATCATTATGTTTAAACAATTATTATGCTTGAACTTTTGATTTTTCATGTGAACTTCACTTCAAAAGTTGATTCAATTTCTAAAGTTGATAAAATTTGTATAATGCTACGATCACGGCGCACCAAATCACAGATAACTTGAAAATAACCAAGCAAAAGCCACATTCTTCAGCAAACTATGAGAGCTATCTGATCCATGCTGCGTTGAAATAATTGAAAATCGCCAAAATCAGTCAAAATATGACAATTAAATTAATATAAACTTCACAAAACTCTGATTTGTGAGGCAATGCGCAACAGAAATGCGAGGGAATATGGTAGTAATCTGGTAGCAATTATGAAGGATTTCCCCTGTCGCTGATAAAAAAAACACTTGAAACAAATTTTTCAACGCAGAGGAAATCCTTCATTATGAGTTGCAGGGACCATTTGATTAGCCCATTTGAGATAAATATAGGCCGAATGTTTCGATTTCAACCCCATTTATCGTAATGAGACGAATCCATTGGCTTAGTGGTACGTCTTTTGAAGACATGTAGGCCTTAGATTTCTCCTTAGCCCGCCTGAAACACACCATGCTTTGCATGCATTTCTATGGGTGAAGGAAAATTCATGCGCCGTGATGACGTCACGGTAAAGGAATTCTGAAGCTCGTGAACGGGGGCTGAGTACACGGCAGACACTTCAAATTTTTGACACTGAACATTTCATCCGTAAATGTTTTAGCATAATTTAAAGTTAAAAACAGCGCGAATGGCAGAGTGAAGCAAACAACATTTTTCACCCATTGATATAACATGTAATCTGTGGTGCGCCAGATGCGCCATTATTTGTCAACCGCAGAAGGTGACATGTGACGTAACAGCATCAAGAGCATCTTTTTTCAAGAACTTTTCAAAACAAGTTTCCTATCTTTCTTCCCCCATTTCTCTCAGCTTATTGATTTTATGAGGCAATGGTATGCACCATAAATTCTGTGAAAATAGTTTGATCATTTTCATGCATTCTTAAAAAATCGAGTTCCCAACCCCATTGCGCGATCGGAGGGTAGGGGGCAGCCCAGGGTCACCGCAACAAGATTTGCTTAGCGGTGGCTCTGTCCTTGAGAATCCCTCGGACTATCAAAAGGTTCGGACTAAATTTATAAAAAAGGAATACATAAAATGCCCGACATGCTTAGGTAGGTACTACAGGTAGGTAGGAAGGTATCCAATCCAAGGCTGTGGAATTAACCCGCGCCCTGGTGGGGTCTGTTTATAACGCGACCTGGTGGGGGGGGGGGGCTATTTTTTGCCCCCCCCCCTCGTATCTCCGAAACTACTGGACGGATCCGCAAAATTCAAACGGCGTTCGAAAGGCCTGTCAAATTTGTTGAGGGAGACCAAATTTCATTGACCTCGAGGTCACCGATGACGTCACAGGTCAGGTCAAAGATGAAATGTTTCACCGTTCACGGGTCTTCTAGGGAATGCGCTATAACACCGAGGAAAACGCATTTTGTCGGGAATCAGCGATAGGGCGTCAGTTGCCTAGTAGATATGTTGCTATTAGAGGTCAATGACAATACCAGGTCAGGTCACAGGTCAGGTCACCAAGGGTCACAGCCCACAGGTCAGGTCACATGAGCCCAACTTTACTAAGGTTGTGTGATGCATGTTTTATGGCCAATTTTTCATTTCCAACTCAATGGTGCTGGTTATAAGACTATCAGGTACGGCTTAGGTCACTTTCTGGTGAAGTGCAGGTCAAGGTCAGGTCAAGGTCAGGCCAAAAAAGGTCAAATTTTAAAGTTGATAGTTTTGCATAAAATGGGTATTGATTCGATGCAGCTCGTCACGGGGAGTCTAATGGTGGTCTTTGTTTTGCGCTACGGGGCCTAGAATTGCTAAAAATTGAGTGTGAAAATTTGACGTCATCAATTTTTAACAGGTTTTTCGCTATAACTTCGCCAAAAAAGAGGTATCAATCTCAAATTTGGTATGTGGATGAAAGGCGGTAAGGACTATCACATATATTCCGGTTTTTGCGAAATTCAAAAAACTTTTTGGGTTTTTCGATTATTATATCCAAAAAAAATATTTTTTGATTTTTGGGGGTCAAAATCCAAAAATTTTAAAAATCCGAGATAACAGTTTTGTACCCCTGTTTATTCTACAGCTTTTATGTCTTTATCATTTTTCTGTATTTGCAAAGCTATAGGCCTGACAGCTCTTCCCGCGAAACCCTTTTTTGGGTCGAAAACGGCAGAACATGACGTCACTCTGACGTCATTTCCGGCCAACCTATCATAGCTTTTGGAAAAATGTTTGGTCACAATGTGTAAAATTGATGTCCGGGAGGGTACTGAAAGTTTGGTGACGATCGGCGCAGCGGTTCTGGAGATATATCGAAAAGTCTGGAGGGGGGGGGGCAAAAAATAGCCCCCCCCCCCCACCAGGTCGCGGGTTAAGGGCTATCGAATGCGCTTTTCCGCGGCGCTGTAGCTCTACATATCGGTTTCCGAGATAGCCGTCGGCAGTTTCCAAAATGTTGAAATAGTCAGCATTTTACCTTTGGTGACCTCTGGTGACCTGACCTTTGACTTGACCCAAAAAATGACTGAAGTGTTTTCGTCCTTATTTTGGATGTTCTCTGGATTGCCGCTTACCGCGTGTCGCTACGTAGCCCAGGAGCCGAGTTAGAAGGGGGGGGGGGGTGTTCAGACACCCCCAGCCCGGCGCGGAATCTCGGAGCACCGGCCCGGCGCGGGTTATCGTAGGCGTTGCTCCAGTGGGTGGTTCATATCAGAAATGCAAATGTTTGAAGGCTGCAAGGTACTTTATTCATTGCGTTCGAATGGCATAAACAGTGTTTAGCGTAATACGTATTAGCACAGGCATACCAGAAAAAAATATCAACAAAAGTTGAAAGAAAAATGCTACAAAACGTATTACTTGTTGCGTCGATGCCAAAAAAGCCCGATAAAAAGGAAATCGGCTGCACACAGCGAGCTACTAAACGCCCAGCAGAAATCGTATCTCACACTGCTCAGTCAGGATACTTTGAACGCACACATGAAAGACACTGCGCTCGTCTAATACTCAGCCAATGAGCTCTTACACTAGGGCTAATCATCACAAGGCATACAAAATGCATTATCACCACACGACCACACTGCGCTACATGCAATGATCCATCAGTCTCTGTTTCAACATGTTAATCACGCATTCATGCGGCTTCGATGCAAGCTTGAGGCTTTGCAAACTTTCTACGGAGCCAAATGTTACATGGGCGTAGAATGGGGGGCCCCCCATTTTCAGACATTCTTTAAAGTAAAAATCTTTATTTTTGATTTGAATACAAAGCTAAGAGCAGGAAATGGTTGAAAAAGGCAAGATGAGCACAAAACTGCAAATAATTTCTTCATAGGGGTAATGAGGCTCCCACAAAGTGTCAAAGTGACATTGATGTTTCGCTGCCTCCCCCCACGTGAGGTTCCTACGTCCATGAAATGTTATAAAGGTATTTCGGAATTCAGTTCGATAACAGCCATGCTCATTTAAGGAATCCCGGTCAAAATCATTGAAGTCATATACGCACATACATACATGGGTGCACTCTATCAAAACACGTTATGCGACCCCGGCCGGGAGCATCCAGAAGCGAACATTCACGATGTGCGAGTGTTAGCGGCTGGTGTGCGCGCATCAAATGCGTACCGAGGCAGCGAGTGCAGTGCCACTCTGCCTCATTTACGCCAAAGATACGTACATCAAAGAAGTTCGGTCAGTGCGCCGCCACATTGTAATGGAAAATCAGCACAGAGGAGTCCCCGAAATGTCATCCCCCACATCTCTCTCAGCAGGTAGCTACAGATCACACGCAACCAGCAGTCCCGTCTTACGGATTGGGGAGAGCAGCGGGCATCTCATCATAACTACTTGCAATATGGCTGCCCCGAAACTACAAACATTGAACGCATGCGATACACCGCAATAGCCGCTGAAACTTCTCAACTTTACCCCGCGCTTAACACTTGCACGTCACATTACACGCTGCTGGTTGGCAAGTTAGTAGCAACTTATACTACCTCGCACGTCAGATACACTGTCACAATTTACCACCCCGAATAGCAGCTTTTGCAAGCCGACAACTATGTAACTAATTCTACAGTCTTGCTATTTGACTCTACCGGTTGAATTTGGATAAAAGCAGCCATTCCGTGGTTGGGGCTTAACTAAAAGTGCTGTATCGGCAAGAAGCGAGCTCTCGATATTCGGCCGTCCGTTTATTGTCA